ATTCATTATGTAGGGCATTAATATCTTCTCAATTWAAAAAAGCATTTTTGTATATTTATATATATGATTTTATTAAATATACAATTTATATATATATATATGATTTTAATCATATAACTRTTGAGACCTGTTTCGTTTAACTGTAACATCAAGAAAATTTGTGTAAGTAGCTAGATGGGTTTTTTTAAGCAGATGACACCTAAGTTTAACAAAGCATCTAAATTTATTAATGTACAAAATATATCTGTGCTGATAAGACACTTAATAAATCTAGAATTTATTTATTTTCCTCTTTTTCTTCCTTTTAGGTGTCCAATGTCCCCAGCATCAGTAGATTGCCAGCTCTCTCTCTTTGCAACACCCTCACCAGCATTTTGCTGGTGCTGTCATACCCATCCCAGATTACTGCAACAGAATGGAGTTGTTCTTTAGTTACAAGGTAAGTTCCCCCACACTCATTTCACACTTATCAAGGTGCAGTTTTTCATTTTACAATATTGTGTAGTTTTGTAAGTTTTTTCCTTATTACTCCTTATTAGTTTCTCCTACCTGAAAACTTATAAAACTGCATAATATGGTAAAGGACTTACTTGTGATCATAGATCAGCTCCTTTTTGTAGTAATCCCCTTGGGGTTATAAGAACTGCATGGCTTAGTAGTTGGGGCATCTAATGGAAAGGGAGCTGGCAATCTGCAGCTGCTATGGACATTGGATGAGAAAGCAATGAAAGGTAAGCTTCAAATTTAGAATATATTGGATGGTTTTTGTTCCGAGATATATATTTGAAATTCATACTTTATGTTGAACTTTTTAGTAGGTTGATAAAAGTACTACTTCTCTTTAAAGTGACCTTTGATAAATGTTTGTTTAATAATTATCAAGTTCACATAATACATTGGTATTATATTAGGAAGATATTTGTATTCATGAAAAATCTAAAACCAGTGAATTTATCCCCATATTCATATACCTGTTTGTAAAGTCAGGACTAAAATTATATGTATAAAAATTATTAAATTATTTTTATTAGAGAATGTTATAGCACTGCTTTACAAATGAACTTTTACCAATAAATGTATCTACCATCTTTATCTTTAATTCTGTATGATTAGTACAGATAAAAGTTTGTAAGAGTCTTTCTGTATTTGAAGGTGGAGCTTGCTGTTTCCTTTTGTTTTAATTCACTTTTAATCTTTAGGTCACTATAATTTCAATTACTCTTGTAACTTTTAAATTAATAAAATTAATTTTAGAGATTTTGATTCTTGCATTACAAAGATATCTATAAATAAATGTAGATATTTAAACAATAATCTATTTCTTCTTTAGGAATTATCTTTGTGGGGTTCAAGAGCAACAATATTATGTGGTGGAGGGAGAGTGAATTTTAGCATTTAAGAGCTATAGAATTCTGGTCTAAAGTCTATTTCTATCCATGAGTACTTCCCTTTGTGACTTTAGACAGTTTTCTTTAAAAAAAAAAAATATATATATATATATATACATGTATATATATATACATGTATATATATATGCCCCCTGAGTTCCCCTTTAACTTTTAATGAATTCATCTAAGAAGAAATATGATTATTCTTGGTTTTCCCCTTATCTGTGTATATAAATAAAGTTGGTCAGTCAAAAAAAAACATTGGTCACTTAGAGTTAATGACCTCCTTTAAAGTTCAATAAATATTTGTTTAAGTAGATATTTGTATTAATCCCAGGATAAGGCAGATAGTTACCAACTCTTAATTTGTTTTTAAAATTCACAACTTTTCTTCTCTTTACTTTAGTTCCATTGTATACTATGAAACTCTGAGATCACAACTTAGTAGAAAGGGACAGTGTCATCATTTTAATTCCATTTGGGTTGTAAGCATCATGTTTTGACCAAAGAAGATGATACATGAAACAAGCAGTGTGAGTTTCCCTTTTATTATCAGTAGTTAAAGCACCTTACCTCAAGTATCAGTCTCAGAGCAGTGATTCTCAACATTTTTAAGTCTGTGCACCCTTTATAAATCAAAATAAAAATATGGACTCACATACCCCATGGAAGGCCCAGGGATGCCCCTTGTTGAGGTCATTGTATTCTTTTTATGTATCTTCAAGGCAAAACATTTTATAGATCTTTACTTTCAATAATTTGTGTTATGGAGAAAAAATTTTGTTCATTTTCCAAATACAGAATGATAAATATGCATTTTCAGATTATAAATGAATGCCATACCATCACTGCCCTGAGTGGAGGATAACATAAAATAAAGAAAGGGAAGAAAACCTTCAAAACACATGTGAAGTTAGGCCATTGACATTTCAAAACAGGTCAGTGGGTCAGACAGAGTTGTGTGAAAGTTAGAACTATATTCTCAGATTAGGATTTAAGCCTCGTTGCATATAATATAGTCTGCTGGTCCAGTAGCATATTTTCTAGATGTTGGATTAATTGAAATTAATCAAAACATAAAATCTTATTTTTAAGCTTTTATGCAAAAATTAATTTTGTAATTTAGCAGAAGCACAACTACATCTGACATATGTCCTGAGATAACATTGTCCAGCTACAAAGAGTCTAACCTTCCTGTTCCTCATCTACCTAGACCTAACTAAAGTCTTCTGCATCCCCTATCCCACTGTCACCATGCTAATCCAGACAGCAACCATACAACTCAGGTTAACCCCCAGTGAGGAATTCAGTATGTTTGATGCTCCCTGTCTTATTTTCTTTCCCCCTCTCCCCTAGTCTGTCTCTCTTTTTTTTTCCCCAATTAATTTTACCACAAAGAGGATAGTCTCCTTACCTTTGTACCTTTCTTTTTTCTTCTCTTTTTAGCTTAATAAAAGTTGGCTTTCACTCTTACCAGCTCATTTTTTGAGCCAAATAATAGTTGAGGAGTGGAAAAATTTATATGCCTTATTAAAGGGAAAAATCTACCTATTATTTATTGAAACAAAATTCTACTTCATTCCATGAAGAATTTAGGATGGCTGTCAGCTGTCTGCCTTTTTATCTTCCTCAATTGCAGTATGCTTTCCCTTAATGAAGGTTATTTTTTGCTCAGTTTGATTGTATATCAGTTTAATTTTGTTTTTATGGATTAGAATAAGCACTTTATATAATCTTATAAAATTTCTTTGAGAAAAACAAACTTTCAAGGTAAAACCCATTGTTAACTTGGGTTCTGTATGTACATTTAGAACACATTTAACAAGAAAGAGATCTATTTTGTATATTTATATGAAATAAAAATTACTTTCCTTGAAAAGAATTTTAATATTATAAGTTGTCATGCTAATAAGAAGACAAGAAATAATAAGAGTAGGTTTCATATTTATTATGCACACATGCACATATATACCATATCTTATTATTCTTTTAATAAGTATTTCCCCTTCTAAGATGTAAAAACCTCAGAGGTAGAAATATAGCTGCGTACCTCTGTAGTCTCAATGGAGGCTGAAACAGGAGGATTGCAAGTTCAAGGTCAGCCTCAGCAATTTAGCAAGGCCCTAAGCTACATAGTGAGACCCTGTCTCAAAATAAAAAGGACTGATGATATAGCTCAGTGGTAAAGTGCCCCTGGGTTCAGTCCCCAGTACCAAAAACAGAGAAATAATGGCTGTTTATGTGTATAAATTTTGGGGGAGAAACCGTGCTATTAAACACTTGGGCTTATATATGATGAAATTTTCTGTGACTGGAGTATTGAAGGTTTTATATATGTAAAACTGAAATCCATGCACACATTTAGAATATACATTTTGCTCTAGATACTGGTAATTTTTCTTACTGTTCTACATATGTATCAAATGACTTGCTGTAATAGTTCCTTATAGGATGAAGTCTAATTTTATACATTTTATCCATATGTGATCCATAGGTTATGTCTTTTGCTAGAAATAAAACATGAAGTGTATGGTATGTGAATTATCTTTCAAAGCTATTACAGGAAAAATACTACATGGTTATATAATGGTAGATGATGATGATGATGATGATGATGATGATGATGATAGCAGCTCTGCACTAACATTATAGAGAAGCAGAGGTTGACTAAATTGCTATAAATTTGTTTCTATGGCATTCAATTCGTTTTTCATATACTGGTGAGGTATATCTTCACCAGATATTTTTATAACCTACATCAGATTGAATTTATTTAGGTAGGAATATAGTTCTAAGAGCTTGGACTTAAGAATCAGGCAGATACAGGTTCAAGTCATAGGACCCTAAACAAGTCATTTGATCTCTCTGAGCCTTACTTTCAAATACGCATACCACCTCAAAAGGGTTTTCATAAATGCTAGAGTCTTTCTCCCCCCACCCTTTATGCGCCCCACCCCACCCCCTGTTTGTAGATGGATTCATAAAATACCTAGGATAATGTTTTGCAAATGGTGGGATATCAATAATTATTAATTCTTAGTGTAGCATTGTGATATTGAAAACAGTTAACTGTTGTATTTGCTTTTTGTACTAGTCTCTTAAAGTAATTGTAAATTTTCCTAAGAAGTTTATGAAGAAGTCTACTTTTAAATATAGTAACCAACCTAGCTTTTCTCATTTTTTTCCTTATTCTTTCAGAAAATTACAAAAACTTTATAGATGAATTATATCTTTTACTTATATAATTAATTTATATATATTTTACATCTTTACAATTTTTGTTTTGTTTTGTGGCACTGGGATTAAACCCAGGGCTCTTTACCTGGGTTTAGTAAATGATTTATTAAAACATTTACAGCTGACAGAACTAATTTTTTTTTAATTTTTATATCCTGGTTAGATGACACAGGTTTCAGAGTTCACATAGAAATTAAAATCATTAAATATATTAAATAATATTCATTACAGGATTTTTACCCTTTTCTGCAGTTTGAGAAAAAAATAATTTTTGATAGGTTTTTGGCATTTTGGTTTTTTTATTCAAAAGATAGAGCTTGACATTGACTTTTAGATTAAATCTAAGGAATTTACTTTAAGTTTTTGTGTTTTTAGGGCAAATGGTATCAACGGAGACAAGCTGTAAAAGAATTACATAGCACATTGATTCGTCTTTTAAATGAATTGCTGCCATGGGAACCAAAGTTAATGAAGGCTTTTCAAAGGAACAGGTAATTAAAGCTTTATAATCTATTTTACTTATTTTAGAGCTCTTAATTTATGATTTCTGGGAAGATGTTCTAGAATCATTTAGTAGTTTTCCATTCATATGTAATTCAGCAGATAATTTTGAGTGCCTGCTGCGTACAAGGCACTTCCTATCCAGGAGAAAAATGATAGTGACTTAAACCAGGATAGTATCAGTGCAGATACCAAGGAGTGGTTGGATTCTACATATTTCAAAAGTAGGATTGGTAGAATTTGCTGAAAGATTGGATATGGGGTATAAAAGAAGGTGAAAAATAAAATCAGTGTGCCCAACATTTTTGCTCTAAACAATTGGCATTATAGATTTGCCATTAACTAAGATAGAGAAGAATAACAAAATAGCAGATTTGGGAGTAATGGGGTTGAGTAGTTTGGATATCAACATATTAAGTTTGATATACTTTCTAAACATCTGATGTATGAGCCTGAGTTCAAGAGAGTCAGCCAGACTGGTGATGTGAATTTGGAGTTATCCACATACTGATTATATTTAAAGCTTAGAAACTGATAGAAGTCACCTAAACACTGGACATTCCAACATTTAGAGGTGAGATATATGAGTAGGAATCTCTCAGAAGAGACTTTGAAGTAGTACTTAGCAAGATAGGAGGATAACCAAGGAGGAAAGGTGTCATAGAAACCAAGTAAAGAAAATGTTTCAAAAAGGACTGCTCTTGGGTCTGGGGATGTAGCTCAGTGGCAGAACACTTGCTTCTCATATGTGAAGCAGTAGGTTTGATCCTCAGCACCACATATAAATAAATAAATAAATAAGGTCCATCGACAACTAAGAAAATATTAAAAAAAAAAAGGACTGCTCATGATGTGTTGTGGAAGATAAAGAATAAGAATTCATTATTAAAGGACTGAGGATATGACTCAGTGGTAGAGTACTTTCCTAGCATGCAAAGCCCTGAATGCAATCTCTTAACACCACAAAAATAAAAAAAGAATTAATTATTGAGAAGTGGACAAAAATCTTAAATCTATTCAAGAGAATARGTGGAGAGGAATTAAGGAGTCTTTTTATTCATGGTATTTTGCTGTGAAGTGGAATAGAGAAATAGGGAAGTACCTGGAAGGACAAGTTTGGATTAAGAGAGCACTGTTTTTGTTTTTTTGTTAAGTCTTTATTAATGGAGAAAGAATATGTTTTGTTATTGGTAGAAATGATCTAAGAGAGACAAAAATGGACTCAAGGAAGTTACATTTAATAGAGTGATCCTTGAATAGAGAAGAAAGGGTATGTTAGCATATAATTGGACATGTTCACTTAGATAGGGAGACAGAATATATGAGTATAAATTAAGATAAGTTGCAGATAAGGTATGAGCAAGTGAAATTTCTTTTTCAGTTGCTTTCATTTTCCATAAAATAAGGAATTGTCATTAGCTGAGACTGGAAAAAAAGAGGGGAAAGGAGCTTCATACTACCCTCACATAGATACTTCACCATTCCAATCATTTGTATTGAAAGGGAAATTGATTTTATCATTATATTTTGGTAACCCATACTGGTATCTCACAGCCCCATCCTTAAGCAATAAATCAAAACCAAAATCAATTTAACTAAACACTTGCTGAATATTTATGTGCTACATATACTATGAGGGTAAGTACTATTTTTAAATAAAGTGATGCCTTAGATTAAGGAATTTTCCCAATATTAGAACTAGTAAGTGATAAAGGTAGTACTTAAATTCTAACATGCACAAATAAAAATTTGTCGCAAAAATAAGTTATAGAAGGTGTGTTCAGATCCCCACCCCCTCACCCCCGCCACCCCATAGTACATAGTACAATAGTCTCCCAGTGAACTCCATCTTCCAACTGTTTTCATTTTATTTTGTGACAGAGTCTTGCTAAGTTGCCTAAACTGGCCTTTGTGATCTTCCTGCCTTAGAATCCCAAGTAGCTGGGATTACAGGCATATGCTACTGCACTTGGCTCAGATTTGTTATTATTTTTTTAAACATAGAAATTGAGGGTACAGCAGAAAATTRGCTGAAAGCAAAAGAAGGATCTCTAAAATACCATGTAATCATTTGGAAATGTTTCCATCTCTCCATAGTTTCTCAGAAACAAAGCTAAGATTTAATTGAAAGTTAGATTGCTTTTCAGTTTTACTGCCCTAAGCTTAATGAAGGACTAATGCTAGTAAGACACAAAATACCTATTATTTTCAGGATTAAATGATAGATTTACTTATTACAATCTATATGATAGTCACAATAATCAATATTGTTGCTTGGAATTTTTTAACTTCTTTAAAATAATCTTAAACTATAGTATAATTAGTAATTTTAAGACTGTCTCAAAACCATTTTTCAATTCATCTAGGAAAAAAATAGCTTTCTCTTATTTAATAAGCCTGACAGCAGCCTTTAGAAAGACAAACAAGGTGGTATATTCAAACTTTATTCAGAAATTTGCACGTTACCTTTTAAATTTCTTATTCTTATACCCTAGGTTTCATCTTCTTCAGCAGTTAATTGTTAGCAAGACTGAACTAAACATCTTAGATACACTTAACATAAAGCATAATTTTTAGTGACAATTGAAAATATTTCAATATATAATTTAAAATGTTAAAAGTTAGTTTAGCAGGTTCCCTTCAATACCACATATACTAAAATTGGAACAATACAGAGCAGATTCTGTTTCTGAAGTTTTCTTTAAATGGAATTTGGCCTAATGAGACCAGAGTAAACACATTATTCTAATAAGGATAGGTGGCTGGGTCAGATTAGATGTGTTTCACTTCAACTCTAAATCTAGTTTAGTGACTTTCTTTTAATTCTATAAGAGATTAATATGAAAGTTTGTAAAGAATCTCCTAAAGTAGATTAGCATAGCCCCTGCAGTATGGCAGGCAAATTTATGAAGCATTCTATATTTTTTAAATGTTATCTCTCATATGTGGAAGCTAGAGAAAAAGAGAAAAAAATTAAAAAAGGGTATCTCACGAAAATAGAAGAGAGAGCAATAGAATAAAAGTAGGAAACCAAGGGTAAGGGAGGAGTGGAGGCAAATGGGAAGCAGTAGGGAATAAATGTAACTAAATTATGTTTTGTGCATGTATGAATATATCACAATGCTTTCCATTTTGATATATAACTATAATGTACCAATAAATCAATAGAATGAAGACCAATAGTAGAGGAAGAGTCTGGGAGGTAAAAGGGAAGGGATTTTACTGAGGGTTGAAATGGATAAAACTATGCTATATGTATTTATAAATATGTTAAAATGAGCCCCACTTTTATGTATAACTACATTGCATTAAAAATTAAAAAGTTAGTTTAGCTTCTAAGAGTTAAATATATATATATATATATATATATATATTTATTATTTTGGGTATTTTATTTAAGGAGCCGCCTAAAGAAAGACTATGATGATTTCAGAAGACAACCTGATCATGATAAATTTACTAGAGAACTGTGGACTACTGAAGAATGTGAAGGAGATCCTGGTAAAGAATCTCCTAAAGTAGAAATCAGTAAGCCTATAGACTCAACAGAGCCTCTAGATATCCTGGAAAAAGATAACTTTATTTCAGGTACGCATTAAAACTTTTTAAAACCAACATAAGTGCACAAAGAGAAGTTTCTATTTGTTTTGAAAGGAAAAGATAATCTGGCTATTGTATATTGTTTGGGGGAAATCTGGAATGTTTTGAAGAAGTACTGTCCAGGTCCTTACAAGAAACTTTTTGGGAGTAATTATTACATTTTTAGGAGTTTCTGAAGCCAATCCCTGATTCCATATGTAGGCATGTCATTGCTCATTACAGACTATACATCCTTAACCTGCAATCCCTTTGAAATTGTTTCATTCTTTTCTTTATTATTACTATTTTTGAAACTCTGTTTCTGAAGTTTTCTTTAAATGGAATTTGGCAAGTTCCTAGTATTATGAAGATTTTTTTTTTTTAATGAATGACCAAGGTTGATGGCCTAATAAGACCAGAGTAAACACATTATTCTAATAATAATAGGTGGCTAGGTCAGATTAGATGTGTTTCACTTCAACTCTAAATCTAATTTAGTGACTTTCTTTAATTCTATAAGAGATTAATATGAAAGTTTGTGGCTAGAAATGTATTAACCTATTATTTTCCATGTCTTGGTGAATTGTAAGAATAAATTCCTATCAACCCAATTTGACCAGATACTATAAGGATATACAGTAAGAAAATTATAGACATTTTTATTCTTTAGACTCTCTAAAAAAGAATAGAATAAAAAACTATCTTTGGTATCAAGGTTTCTATGTCTAGAGAAAGAGAACTAGTAGACTAGATTCCTTTTCAAATTAAACTCTGAACTCTAATTGTTGGCTCTAATATCTCTTTAAAAATGAAATTTTTTCTTTTGTACTTATATTTGCAGCAGAATTAAAGAATTATATCAAAAATAATTTTCTTGATAACAGGTTGCTCTTGAGCATAGTTATGATATCAGTATTACCATGATAGAGGTCCCCTTGCCTTTTATCTCCAGTGTTGCTGAAGCTTTAGAACTACCCTATACTAGATTGACTTTCATTTTTATTATTGGTGTTATTGCTATTTAGTTGCTACTTTCTATAAACAAAGCACATGTTTTTATAATTTTTCAGATGATATGAAATTGTCAGAAGTAGATTTTCCTATGGCTAGAAGCAAGGTGTTGAAAAAGGAATTGCCTTCTAAAGAAGTACTGAAGACACTGCCTAAAACACTTAAACGACAGTCCAAACAAACTAGTTATCTGGATGATAGCACAAAAGAGCCTTCCCCAAGGAAGAAAGCAAAGTTAAGCACAAATGAAACAATTGCTGAGAATTTAGAATGTGATATGCAGATTGACTGTTTGAGTGAATCAAAGCATATAGAGTCATTTGCCTCAGTGGATTCAGTACCATTGTCTACTCTCCAGAAAGGGACCAAACCTATTCAGGCCTTGCTTGCAAAGAATATTGGGAACAAAGTGACCTTAACAAATCAACTGCCCCCTTCCACAGATAAAAGTGCTCCTGCTGTGGAAAAACCAGTTATATCTCCTCCAGAAGCAAGCCCCGTAAAGCCAGCATTGACCTGCCTCAACAGTACAAAAAGTCCTTTACAGATGGTATACAAAGTGCCCTGTACTCAGTGGTTGCCAATAGATGTTCAAAATAGCTCTGTGAAGATTCAGGTGCAACCTATGGTAGATCCTAAAACAGGAGAAAAACTTATGCAGCAAGTTCTTATTTTGCCTAAGAATTTTGTGATTCAGCACAAGGAAGGAAAAGCAGTTACAAAAGATAAACCATCACTTCAACAAAAAGGTACAGAACAACGTTGTTCATCTTTACCGCAGACAGCAAGTATAAACTCTTCTTTATCATCAGTTCTTGTCAACTCAACAGCAACTGTTTCTGCCCAACTACCTATTTTCAATAAGACGATTACACCTTTACCAAATGTGAGTAGTGCTAGACCACAGCCTTTGTCACCTGTAACCTCTGTGAGCAATTTACTAATACCACCAGTTAAGACTAGCCAGGGTGAGGCAGGAAAAGTCAAGAATGCAGTTTTAACAGCCACATTCCCTCAGCCTGTTGCTTCACCCACCATTTCCTCAACAGTAACAGTTCAGCCTCTATTATCAGCAACAACACTAAGTGGATCTACAGATCCTGGTAATTCCCTCAACTCTTTTGCACAACAAACTGCTGATTCTTCTGAAGCAAAGCAAGAACTGAAAACTGTATGTATAAGAGATTCACAGTCAATTCTTGTTAGGACACGAGGCGGGAACACTGGAGTTGTAAAAGTACAGACCAATCCAGATCAAAATTCACCCAACAGTTTATCTTCAAGTTCAGTTTTCACTTTTGCTCCTCAATTTCAGGCATTTCTGGTACCAAAATCAATAACTTCATCCTCCTCTGCTTTTTCACAAGTAGCTGGAATGACTACTACATCTAGTCTCCCACCTTTCAGCCAAACACCAACTTCTGTTTCCATTCCATGTGGCTTTAATTCATCCATAGGTAAAAATCTCAAACTTACTGTAGGCCAACCCTCCAGCAGTGGTAATATGGGCCACATGAGAGAGAAAACTTCACACATGCCCCCTTCCCCCTTGAAGTCCTCTCTTTGTTCCAGCACTGTACTACCATCAACAACAAATAGTTCAGTAAGTGTAATTAGCATATCAGCAGGAAACTTTGGACAAACCAATACAAATGTTATTCATACTCCAACTAAACAGCAACAAGTAGATTGTATCACAAAAAGTTACCCTGTTACAAGATCAGAAGCAACAACAGCAACAAATGGAGACGTCGTCAGTGCAACTCCAGTTCAGAAACTTATGCTAGTATCAGCCCCATCTGTTCTTCCTTCTGGCAGTGGAACTGCAATTAATGTAACACCTGCACAGACATCTACAGGTGTTTCTACCCAAAAATTAGTTTTTATTAATGCTCCGGTTCCTAGTGGCACTTCAACCCCAGCTATTGTTGCAGAATCATTAAAACAAACTCTACCTCCCACCTTGAATAAGACATATGTTAAGACTCCAGAGCAACCCCAAATAGTACTAATTCCATCTACAGTGGGAGCACCAATAAAAATAAATTCTTCACCAACTGTATCTCAGATAAAAGATGTGAAAATTGGACTAAACATAGGTCAAGCAATTGTGAATCCTTCAGGCACCATGCCAACTATACCATCAATTAATATATTGCAAAATGTAACCCCAAAAGGAGAAGACAAAAGTAGCAAGGGCTATGTTTTGCCATTGTCATCAAGTGGTAATTCAATTCCAGTAAGCTCAAATTTTGTGAGTCAAACTATTACTCCTGTTAATGAATCAGTGGTTTCTGCAGCGAAAACAATAAATATGTTTTCAGTAACAGGAGCAAATGTATCTTTGGGTTCCCTTTCAGTGACTTCATCCTCTGGTTCAGTTGGGACACGGCCTCCTGTTTTAGTTAGTGGAAATGAAACCTCCTCAAGAAGTATGCCTATTTTGTCAAATAGACTTGGCACATCGAATCTCGGAAACACTGTAGCTATATCAACTGTGAAAACAGGACATCTTGCATCTTCTGTTCTGATTTCAACTACACAACCAACAGTGTCTCCTAAATGTTTGACATCAGCTTTGCAAATCCCTGTTACTGTTGCCTTGCCTACTCCTGTGACTGCATCCCCCAAAATAATCAATACAGTTACACATTCAGCAACAGTACCAGGATCTACACGTTCCGTATCTCTTTCTAAAAGACAATCTCGAACTTCTCTTCAGTTTCATTCTCCAGGGACTTCAACTACAGTGCCAACAAATGTAAACACAAATAAACCTCAAGCTGAGTTGTCATCTGTTTCACCAAGTCCAGGTAAAATAATTAGTATTTCCAATTTTGCTTCTCTTCCAAACCAGCAGATGTCCCCTGCTTTAGTAAAATCAACCCCCAGTTATAGTTCTGTTCCAGGTGGCTCTGCCATTCACACTGCTACAGCAACATCAAATGTAACTAGTTCAGTAGGGGGTCCAGTTAATGAACCTTGCATTCAGCAAAAAATAGTCATCAACACCAGTACACCTTTGGCACCTGGCACTCAGATCATGATTAACGGAGCCCGATTTATTGTCCCACCACAAGGTCTTGGAGCTGGCAGCCATGTTCTCCTTATATCTACTAACCCAAAATATGGGCATCCCTTAGTTCTTAATAGTGGCCAAGGCATCCAGCCTACACCCATAGATAATGCTGTTCAGAAGATCACACTAGCATCAAACAGTTCTTTAAGTGGGCAACCTGTAAAACATTCTCTAAGAAGCTCTACAAAGATTGTAAATTCTCTGGGGAATGTAAGTTCTCTACCCACAATACATACAACATCACAATTTGTAAACACAGCTGCTAAAATTTCTGTTCCACTTCCTGCACCAACAGTGTCATTGACTTCAGTAATTAAGCCTCCGCCAGCTTCACATTTGTCTACAACATCTGTGGTTTCTGCCATTTCTTCCAGTAATCCTCCACTGCCAAATAGCACTTCGGTATTTCATTTGGACACATCTGTAAAAAAATTGTTGGTTAGCCCAGAAGGAGCCATTTTGAATACCATAAATACTCCAGCATCTAAGGTTTCTTCACTCTCTCCATCTCTCTCTCAAATTGTTGTATCTGCCAATCGAAATCCAGCCTCTGTCTTCCCTGCTTTCCAGTCATCTGGTTTAGAGAAGCCTGACACAGCTGCATCTTGAGTTTAGACTAAACGAGCCAGTTTTTAAATAATGGGGCATTGTTTTAACTCCCATAAAAATTTTTAACTGTTTATTATACTGTTGAAAACATACTATACATAGGGGTGTGTGTGTGTGTGTGTATGTGTGTGTGTGTTTTAATGTACCTTTTCATTAGCTTGCAGCGAGACGTTATTGGGGAGGGAAAAGTGTGTTCCATTTCACTCATTGGTATGAGGATGTTTTCAAAGGTTTGTTTAAAATACATGGTCTGTATCACATAAATTGAACAAAGTCAAGTTTGACTAGTTTAGAGTAAGCTAGCCTTTTGCACAGTTACATTGACATGTTTCTTGAATTTGGACTATTGCAGCGTGTCTATGCTATAGCATTCTGTGTTATTAGTGAAATCTTATTTTTGTTTCTGTAAAAAGAAATATATATATATATATTTATGCATTGTGAAAATGCAGTCAATGGTGTAAAATTGTACATATTCCTAAATCCCTAACAACCTGTACTAAATATATGTACAAAGAACTATGCTGTCTTATTTATGTTTTGTTTACATAATGTATAGTTTTTTAAGTATTTTAGTAATTTTGGACCAGTGAACTGTTAGCAACAATGCAGAAGAATCTGCATGTAATAAACTGAGTTGCTGTATTTCTTTGTTTGAATACTATTTTTAAAGTGTGTTCTTGTTCCATTTAAAGAATACATGATACAAATGAAAATAGTCCTTAATAAAAAGGAAGGCTGGGAAATTTCTATTACTAAAACTAGTGTTTGCACAAGGCCTTACAGTTTTCAAAGTTTATTTGCATGTATCTCTTTTGTTATTTTCAAAATATTCTTGAGGAATTAAGTGATACAACCAAGGTTCCCCAACTAATCTATAGCAGAACCATTACTTGAACCCCTATGCTATAAATCCTTTTCCCACAGTTCTACATTACCTCTGTTAATTTTTTTTTTTAATTCTAGACTTCACAGGTTTAGATTTCTTTTAGAAATTCACCACCAGATTTCCACATGGGCCAAAATAAGTGAATTTTTTTTTCAGTATACTTGGTCTATTTATATACCCCAAATATATTTCTTAAAACTTTTTAAATTATTTTAGGTTCATGAGAAATTATAAAGATAGTACAGGGAGGTTTCATGTACCCTTCACCTTGCTTACCCCAGATGTTTAATTTCAAGTTGAGGTATTGGTTCATAGTGACTGATTTTCCAAAATGATATATAAGAAAATGAATTTTTTTTTTAGTTTAGAATAAAAAGTGAATATGGACACCAGTGCTCTTTCCATTTGTTTTTATTCCAACTACAGAGACATTATATTCCATTGTAAAGCAAATTTGGGGGGCTCAGCTGATTCTCAGGGCTTGACTTTGTAGCATTTCTAAATCTGCCTCATTTTAAATAAAAGGTAGCTTTTATATTTATTGGATCTTTATATCTATTATCTTATTTGAGATACCGATTATGTGTACATTTTATTTATATTGTTAAGCCTCATCACGTGGAATTATAATTTGAAGTTGAAAATGTTAGGAAGAGTAGACTTAAAGACTTCTTTTGAAACTACATCAAAATGATGTTATCAAAGTGGAGAMAGCAGTGGGAATATTCCTGAAAATTTGCTCCAAGGTCTCAAAAATGTATATTTGTGCTCCAAGACCACCCTACATTTGCCAATCAAGTTTATGCTCTACTCTAGTCTCTGATTAGTTTAAAAGACCCTTGGATTTCAGGGATGGGTAATGGTTAAAGTGCATTGTGTAGCACATAGGTGGTGCTCAGTTGTAAATGTATACTTGGCCTTTAAAACAAAGTAATCTAGAGCTTTGGTCTCAAAAGCATTCTCTAAACCACTTTCAGAAATTAATTTGCTGAATTGCTCATGGCCTAACTTTAATCCCAGTTATCACTAAATCTGTTGTAACTAAATTCCTAAATTCAAAATCCTAATGCAGCCTTCAAAGCTCTGTGTGAGCTGGTGAACCATTAAGAGTGAAACCTCCACTTAGGGCTTTAAAAGTTCTTCAATCTGTTCCTGCCTGCCTCCCCTTCATTTTAATCTACTCTCCCTACTTGTTCACAGCACTCTGGTTTTTAATTTCTAGAAATTTTGAAACACATCAAAGTCTTCCCCACTGTCCTCTTGAACTTAATGTTTCACTGTAGGTACTCACTACACGTTGCAACTTTCCTTGCCACACTCATGCTATTGTAGTCACTGTTGTGAGGAGGATATAGCACTTCTTTACCAGTGTAATATAATTATTTCCTTGCAATCATTTAATATCTTTGTTTTTACAACCTCATCAATCATCTTTATCACCCCAGCAGCTGGCACATGGTATTCAGTATATATTTTTGTTGAATGAGTGAGAAATCTAGATAGCTTCTTGTATTAATTTAAGGTCTAGTTTACTTTTTAAAACTAATAATCCCTGTTTTTCACTAGAAATTTAAATTAATGGATGTACAGATTGAAAAAGCTAAATTTCTTGCCTTTGCCTTCAGCTTCGTAGCTCATGTAGTTATCTGGAGTCTTAGTTAATGAGTACAAAGCCTAATTCCCCAGTTCTTTGTGCTCAGTATTATCATTAAGTATTCATTAAAAGTCATCTATAAAGAAATATGTATAATGAAATACATATAATAATGTATAATGAAAGAAAAGTTACCACAGTGCTACCTAAAAGGGTTCATAGTACTAAAGGCTTTATGTCTCTACACTAATGTGTCTACTACAGTAGAATTATGCCAATGTGGCATAATGTGGCAATGTCTTCCATCAGTATCATTTTAAATACTAAGTTAAAACATGCCAACTTCTGATGTGTTAGCTCTTCCCTTTCCTCTAATTTCCTATATTTCTAAGTGACTTTTTAGATCCCTGTTTTAATTCCAAGCCTCTTGTATGTAGTAAGTGACATCAGTAGTTTTATGATTAAGGTAATGATGGCTATAATATCTACACAAAGGTCAATGAAAATGTTTACTTGTTCAATAGAACATTTAACTTAATAAAAGATTGAATTTGGAAAAATTTAATATTAAAAGCTTGAGAAGGTGGCAAGTTCTGAAAGTAACCTAAGAAATTTTGATGGGGATTTTAACTATCCAAAAAACTTATACTATTATAACTTAAAGATGATAAACAATTTACCTGAAGTCATTCCAGAAGCCATTTTGCCATCATCTGAGTCTGAAACCTCATTGTGGCCATAGAGCTTTTAATTATCCATTTATTCTTCCTCATTTATTCATTAGGCATTTATTATATATGACATGGTGCTTAGAGATGCTCACGGGCATGGCATAGTTTTAAAAGTTCATATTAAGAAGTGCTAGAAACTCAACAGGGCATATTTTTAATGTATGTAAAACATAATTTAAAAGTAATTAACATGAAAGTATTTTCCAAAATTGTACATTCTACACATTTACTGAGAACTATATAATGTAGAAGATAATGAGTAAGATCCCATTCCTGTACCCAATAGAAAAAAGAATAAAACAAGTTAAAAGTAAATATCAGACGAATAAACTACAAGAGTTCAACAGTGAGTTGGCATTTGTGATGGGACTGAAAGTTTGTGCAGAACTGAACCTGCAAAGACAGTCTCAGAAAAGCTCAAGGAGCACAAGTAATTGAGTTTGAATGGAATACTATAGATTAAGAGAACCAAAGGGGAGTGATTGTAAAATAGATTGGATGATACAGGAGTAAAAAATATTCAAAATAAATATGAACATTTTAATATTTATTGCATGTCAATTATACTGCAATAAAGCTGTTTTTTAAGAAATTGCATATATACGAAAAACTTATTTCTAATTACAATTTTTGCATATATATTTAATAATATTTATGCTTAGCATTACTTCAAAACTGCAGTAGCTACTATGGGTATTATTATTTAATGTTTTAATATATTACTGTAATAAATTTATTTTTTTAAAAAAATCAAAAGTAATTAGGAAAGCTACCAAAGCTTCTGAAGAAAATGTAGTAGCATTCACATACAAGATGGAATACAGTTACCTTGCAGTATCGCTATGAGAATTAATGGTCTTAACTGATTGATATGTCTCTCCCTGGTCATAATGAAATAATTTATGTAAAATATTTGGTTCAGTGCCTAGTAAATAATAAATGGTTATTCTATCATTCATCTGATGGAGACCGGGAACCCAATTAGGATATCAGGTGTGAAGATTTGGTATATGGTAGTAGAGGTGGCAACAGAGAGATGAAGAAAAAAATAAAACTTAAGAATGAGAGTAGAGAAAGGGATTTTTAAAAATATTTTATTAGTTGTTGATGGACCTTTATTTATATGTGGTGCTAAGAATCGAACCCAGAGCCTCACACAGGCTAGGCAAGTGCTGTGCCACTGAGCCATGACCTCAGCCCCAGAGAAAGGGACTTTTTAAAGGAAAACTTTTGACTGTATAAAATTTAGAAACATTTAGACAAAAAAAAATGTCATGAGCAAAATGTTACCTCCCCTAAATGTATAAATATCACTAAACTTATAAAAATATGAATAGATTTGGCTGATATTTGTTTTGGATAAGGTTACTGTTTTTTAAACAAATTTACTGAGATAAATGGTAAGTTGACTTTACAGTGCTATAATAGTTATTTAACAGTTTATAGCTCATATAAATAAATGGTCTTTATTTTTGATTTACATGTCTCTCCCTGATCATAAAAACAGTTGTAGTGTAAATAATAGGCAATTTAATTTTAAATATAATATTTATATACATCTAATTCTGAGGGTCTAATGAAATGATCTAATAGCCATAAAAAGTATTATTAAAACCATACAGAAGCTGGGTGTAGTGGCACATGTCTGTAATACCAGCGCCTCAGGAGGCTGAAATGAGGATAACAATTTCAAAGCCAGCCTCAGCAAATTAACTAGACCCTCTCCCAAAAATAAAAAGGGCTGAGAATGTAGCTTAATGGCAGAGCACCCTTAGTTCCAATCCCCAGTACTAAAGGTGAAGAGCCATTTTAGGAATTACAATTTTATCAGACTTCAATTTAAGTAAGTTTAGTAGCAATTAAGAAAAATAAACAGTTAAACCAAAAAGAGATTACATTATATTTAAAGAAAAGAGGTGTCCTCCAGTGGATATTGGAAATTGGTTGTAAATATCAAACCTGCAGTGACTCAGGCACCTGAGCCCTCACAGCTTAACTCTACACCTTCCTTGGAGAACTGATGATCTAAGGAATTCTCTAATGCTTCATATGGAATGGCAGGAACCACTTCATGAAACCTGAATTTAAAGTTTGTTTCAATCAATTTTCTCTTGTGATCATTTGCTTTTATTATGATTTGTCTCAATCAGTTAAGCTGCCAGCCAACCAACTTTCTTGAGCTTTTTTCCTCATTGCAGGATGACATTTGTGTACATTTATGAGGTACAATGTGATGTGATTTATGAATATACTGAGTAGTGATCAACATATCATCACATTAAAGTTTTATTATTGCCTTATAATGAGTACATTCAAAAATTCTTCTATCTTGAGATAGATAATACATTATTGTTAATTCACCTTACTGTGCTATAGAATACCAGAGTTTAATATCCATACTATATAAGGAATTGAATAACAAAACAAATAAGCCAGTTTTTAAAAATGGGTTAAAATCTGAATAGACATTTCAAAAAAGGCAAAATACAAATGGCAAACAGATAAAATGAAAATTGCTCAATATCATTAGTCAATAGAGAAATGCAAATCAAAATCACAGTGAGATAGTGCCTCATCCCAGTCAGAATGCCTGTTCTAAGAAAGCTGGTAAGGCTGTGGAGAAAGGGGAACACTTATACACTGTTGAGGGGATTGTAAAATAGTAAGTACAGGCATTATGGAAAAATAGTATGATGTTTTCTAAAAAAATTTTTTAAAAATAACTAAAAGTGGAACTACCATAATGATCCAACAATCCCACTCTAGGAATATGCTCAAAGGAAATGAAATCAACATGTTGAAAAGAACTACTACCCTCCCATGTTTCGTGCAGGACTATGCACAATATCCAGGCTCTGGAATCAACCTAAATATCCATCCACAGCAGATTAGATCAAGAAAATGTTGTACAGCCAGACACAGCAGCTCAGGAGACTGAGGCAAGAGGATTGAAGTTCAAAGCCAGCCTCGACAACTTAGTGATTCCCGCTCCCCCAAAAAAATCTGGAGATGTGGCTTAGTGGTTAAGTGCCCCTGGGTCCAATCCTTGGTACCAAAAATAATAAAGAAAATATGGTACATATACACAAAGGAATACTCTTCAGCCATTAAAAAAAACATGAAATCCTGTCATTGCAACAAAATTGATGGAACTGTAAGATATTAAAGGAAGGAATATGTTTAATATGTTTTTCTCCCCCCAAAATTGTGAGGAATTCTTTTACATTTTTGAAAATCTCTTTAATGTTTGGTTTAATAGAAAACAGATTCCCATATTCTTCATTCAATCTGTTATATGTTGTTTTGACTGAAGTACCATCATTCCTTGCTATCAAATTCCATGGATGCTCAAATACCTTATATAAAATGGTATAGTATTTGCAGATAAAATACACACATCTTCCATATACTTTAATTCATCTCTAGGTTATTTATGATACTTCATACAATGTGAATAATTGTTATACTGTATTACATAGGGAATAAATTTTTTAAATTTTTATTCTTTTTAGATGGTACAATCTATTTTGATATATTTATACAAACATAAATATAGCTTATTCTCATTAGGATCCCAGTCTTGTGGATGTACATGATGTGGAGATTCACTGTGGTGTATTCATATATGTACATAGGAAAGTTGTATCAGATTCATTCCATTGTTTTCCTATTCCTAACCCCACTCCCTTCTCTTCTTTTTCTTTTGTCTAACCCAGTGAATTTCTATACTTCCCCTCCTGCTGCCCTTTGTTATGGATTAGCATCCACATTTCAGAGAGAACATTTGTCTTTGCTTTTTTGGATTTGGCTAATTTCACTTAGCATGATAGTCTGCAGATTCATTCATTTACAGGCAAATGTCATGAAGTCGTTATTCTTTATGGCTGAGTAATATTCCCTTGTGTGTGTGTGTGTGTGTGTGTATCACATTTTCTTTGTCCATTCATCTGTTGAAGGGCACCTAGGTTGGCTCCATAGCTTAACTATTAATGAATTGAGCTTCTATAAACATTGATGTGGTTGTGTCCCTGTAGTGTGCTGATTTTAATATACCAAGGAGTGGGTTAACTGGGTTCAAATAATGGTTCCATTCCTAGTTTTTGTTTGTTTGTTTTTTGAGGAATCTCCATATAGTTTTCCAGAGTGGTTGTACCAATTTGCAGTCCCACCAGCAATGTATGAGTGTACTCTTTTCCCACATTCTCACCAACATTTATTGTTACTTGTATTCTTGATAATTACCATTCTGACTGAAGTGAAGAGAAATTCCAGTGTAGTTTTAATTTGCATTCTCTAATTGCTAGAGATATTGAAAATTTTTTCCATATATTTTTTTACCATATTTCTTCTTTTGAGAAGTGTCTATTTAGTTCCTTTTCCCATTGATTAATTGGATTATTTGTAATTCTTGGTGTTAAGCTTTTTGAGTTTTTTGTATATCCTGGAAATTAATGCCCTCTCTGAGGTGCAGGTAGCAAATATTTTTGGCCCATTCTGTAGGCTTTCTCTTCATGCTCTTGATTGTTTCCTTTGCTTGAGGAAGATTTTTAGTTTGATACCATCCATTTATTGAATCTCACTTTCAACCAAACTCTTCCGAGAAGCTAGGCTAATCTGAGTAATTTAGTGAGACCCTGTCTCAAAAAATAAACAAGGACTAGGGATACAATTCGGTGGTAAAGTGCCTTGTTCAATACCCCTTTACCAAATTAAAAAAAAAAAAAAAAGACAAACTCCACTTTGCAGTCTTCGATGGTACTTATTCAGTTTGGAGACTATTCCTTTGAAATGTGATTAATTTGATTTTTATAACTTTTTAAATAGTCCTTATTTTTCTCCCTCAATCCTTTTCAAGGAAATGTTTAACAGCATCAATGTATTTCTTCAAATTGACCTTTGTTTGGCAATCTAGAGGCTCTCAAATTTCTTGTTTTCTCTTGGTCTAATTGTAAGTTGCCACCAGCAGTGTAATCTTTTCTAGCGAGGGCAGGCAGGGATCATCTTTGGTATTTTTTCCCCAGTGGCTGTAAAGGGCACTATCATTTATAACATCTTTAATTCATATTTTCAAGTTGTTGGGCTTTTAAAAAAAATGTTCCCCAATTTTCCACATTCTTTCTTTATTCTCACAGCTTCTTTGGAGAGCAGTTTTAGATTTTCTTAAAAATGAGTATTTTCATTTAAACCATCAATGGGAGAAATCCCTCTGAAGTTCTAAATTTTAAAATGCTTTTGTCATCACTTGAGATTGAGGAATTTTTGATGCCTCTTTGAGTGGCTGGGCCCTTGAAGTGAAGCCATGAAATGAAAGGGGACTATTTTCTGTTCTTTTTAGACAAAGTCTACAGTACTTTAAAGTGACAAGTGGACCTGTCTGGATATTTACTAAATGCTGCCAAACTCAATGTTTGTAACTTCAGAAGAGGTCATTTTGAAGGTGTCATAGTCTAATCTCACTAACTTAATTTGAGCAGAAAGTCTTTTGGCTAGTTTTTCCCCTCCTTAAATTATGCCTGCTGTTTACTATAATAACTACATCAGTATCTCCAAAAAAAAAAAAAATCCAGAAAAGTTTGAACCTTGATTCTAGCATCAGACAACACCATTGAGGATGGTGGAGGAGGAGGCAGATGAGGTTCTATAAAACAATGCTAACTCTGTTCCACTCACTGCACAAATAGAAAGTGGGATTTATACAAAGCATTTGGGTAAGTGGAAAACACCAATCATAGGTAGAGAAAGACCAGTCATGAGTTCTGACCAGGCTGGTCCCCACCTGGCCCTGTAGGAGGCCTTGAGTATTAAAGTATTGCCGTGTCGTCCCTCATTCTCTGTCCCAAAGCATGTCAGGGCAGAAAGGTGGGGCATGCTGCAGTTGAGGATTCCTGTACCCATGTGCATAGGGAGGCTCATTCTGAGTTCAAGTTTCCTTCAACAGCAGGGAAACTTGATCCTAACCTACACAAAGGTCACAAGGATCCCCCTTCCATGAGGACTCCCCGCCTTGTTTCTCTTTTCTGAGTTCAGTAGCAGGTGTAGAACACTGAAGGGCCTCAACAGATCTAGGAATAGCCGTGGTTTTCCTTATTAGAATGTCAATGGACATTTCATGAATTTTCTATGAGGCCAGTTAGTTTCTCCCTTCAATCTAAGCATTCCCAGTTTAGGAAGACTCTCCTTCAGTGGTCACTACCCAGGCTCCTTGCGTCATTTGACCTTTCCATCTTTAGCATGTGCCTCCAAGGATTGCCCTGAACCTGGTTCCCAGTCCAGGAAGTTATCTGCAGACGTGAGGCTTCCCCTGTGAGGAGAGCTGGTCTTTCTGAATCTTGCACTTTTTTTTCCTTCCAATAAAATCTCACTCTCACAGTTTTTCTCTGGCGGACTCAGCCCAGTCCCCCATGTCCATCACCTGGAACACTGTTTGAGGGATTCTGTGRGAACAGACCTTCAACGTGGAAAGGAGTGAACCATCAGTGGGTGTCAATCTGGGAGTCCTGGAGAGGTCTAGGACTCAAGCCACAGGCCCCTCTGTAGATGTGAAGGATTGAAGCTCAGGTGAGACCTTCCAATGAGGGGAGGAGATGGCCAGATGTCTAATGAAGTTTTCTCTATTTGGATTTTTTTTTTTTTAAAAGAGGGCAGGGAAGGGGAGTATTATCAAGTGGTAAGTCCTGAAAGAATCAGGAAAAGGCAGAAAAACATTTTCATATTTTGTTGAATGTCATTTTTTATTCTATTATTTTCCTTCAGCCTAATTTCTTTGGTTAATGTTATGCTTATGTTTCCAGTGACACAAAATGATTTTAGGTGGTTTAGCAACTCAGCATTAAATAACAGTGGATCACAGTGATAAAGCCATTGTTTTAAAACTTGCAAACCTTCTGATTATGTCAACAGCAGCCTGTAAGTTTTCTCTGACTCTTGGTAATCTCCCTCTTTAGCCAAGAAAGCAGGTCTCAGGTTCACAGCTTTCTACAACCATCAATGTCTTCCTAGGTTTTAATAAAAATAATCTGCTTTTATTATCTTCATTTTTATAGTTATCCTCTGTTTATGGAACATGATGCTAGTTTTCCATTTAAGGTAATGGGTATCAATTTTGACCAAATATTTTATTTATTTTTTATTTTATTTTGGCCAAATGTTTTATTTAATGTGCTAACTAAAAAAACTAGATAATAAATAGTGTGATATGTGAACATGCAGAAAAGCAAATTGCACTGTTGCTATACAAATAATGACACGGCTCCATGATCTCTTATCCTGTATGGTTTCTTTTGTATGTTCTTGTTTGAGAGATTCTGGAACCTGAAAATAGCTAAACTGCCATGGGGACACTTAAGACTGTACACAGACAGAGTCAAACTTTAGTGACTTTTGCTTATTTAAATCCTTAAACCACTGTTTTGGTTTAAGAGAAGATTCTTATCCTTAATTATGATAACATTGACCCTTAAAGTAAAATGTAATTATAACTTCATTATATATATTACTGAAGGTGGGGATCTTTAGGGTGTATTATTATATACGAAGCGGTGTGGCTGACATGGTCCAGATCAGATAAGTAGGTCCTTCAGTTCTTAGTTTTAAGCTTGTAAGTGTCCTTTGTGAGCAGGCTATAACACCTGCCACCATTCTCTGTACATTTCATGTTGGTCAAGAGGTTGCTACTTTAAAAATCTGAATAAAAGTTTGTAAGTTAGCCAAATTTCAATTTAAAAGAAATAGATAGTCCCAGAACACCCACTTGAGTTCTATTATTCATAAAATAGTGGATTTAATAGCATTACTACTAGTACAGACAGTAGATATTGATGAAACCTTTCCATTTTAATATTTTTCATCATTTCCTCACTTGATTAGTACTGCTAGTTGTCCTGTTAAGAATGTAACACTGGCCTATTAGATATGTACATTGTTGTTCATTTTAAAGTAGAACATTAGATGTCAAAAGTAAGTTAAAGCAAAAGTGTGAGGGAAAGCATTTCAGCACTTCTCAGATGGCTTTGCTGGCTCTCAGGGTGAGTAAGGTGGAGGTGACGGTCCTGTAGAAAGTTTCTCATAAGCAGGAGGAGCCTCAGGGACCTGTGAGAATGAGAAAGGGAGAACGTGGGCTTTGGCAACCATGTCTATTTCTGGGGAGGCATTAAGTCAAAAGAGCATCATGTTTATATTTCTGCTGTAGACGGAAACTTCTGAGTGTTCACACCTAATTTCCACCCAGTTAGGTAAATATATACATTGAAACATTGTCAGAGAGAAGGATAAAAAAAAATAGGACTAAGGGTTTTCTCAAAACCTGAAAGTGTACTTATACCTAGAAGTCCCAAGTCCTAACTAATGAATACTTGAATTCTGTTTACAGATAATATACACTGAATCTTTACCACATAGATCTTTGTAGTTGTGTCCAAAGGTACATTTATACTACCAACTGAGCAAAAATGTGTCAGTCCTTCATTTCATGCTCAACATTCTAGGAAATGTTGCAGAGTGGAAAACTGAGGCACAGAGAAGTTACTCACCCAAGATCACACAACCAGTAAGACATGAAGCTAATTCTCAAATACAGTCATTTGGCTTCAGAGTCAGTGCTTTCAAGCATTATGTTCCATTGCTTCTCTACCAGTACCATCTAATAGAAATATAGTACCAGCCACATATGCCATTTAAAAATTTCTAGTAACTACATTTTTAAAGGCAGATAAAAATTAATCTTGATAAAATAGTTTTTTTAACCTGCCATATTAAAACAGTCATCTCAACATGTAATCAATAGTAAAATCATTAATGATTTTCATATACTCTGTCTTTGAAATAGGATGTGTATTATAGTATGTCTTAATTCAAATTACTATTCCAAGTATCCATAAAAATGCATGACTAGTGGCTACTGCATCATTAAAGCACAGCTGTATGCAATTAATATTAGATACTTTTTTCCTCCTCTTTATGTATCTACATTGATGAAAAGGGCAAATGTAACTAAAAACACAACCTACAACATAAGGATATGTTATCTAAAACCAATTTCTTCTTTGGGTCTTATGTGTAAGGCTCTCATTATTGACCCTGGAAAATCTGAGTATGAAAAAATACAATTTAGCTGGTCATGATGGAGCATGCCTGTAATTACAGTGGCTCAGGAAGCTGAAGAAGAAGGATTGTGAGGCATTAAGTCAAAAGCCTCAGCAACCAAGTGAGACCCTAAACAACTTAGTGAGACTCTGTCTCTGGGGGTGTGGCTCAGTGGTTAAGCACACCTGGGTTTAATCCCCAGTATCAAAATAAAACTTAAAAGATATAATTTGGTTTTTGATTTATGATAACTCATTTTTATTGTACTAAAATATGCATAACAAAATTTACCATTTTGATCATTTTTAGATCTACATTTTAATACCAGTAAATATGTTTACTCTGTCCTTGCTTTTTCAATAGAAATCATTTTGTTCAATTGAGCTAAAAGCAATCATATGGAAAAATATCCAGATGCATGATCTCAGCCTACCTGAGGATCACAGTTTTGGTTTTGAAAAGACAGTTTGCTGTCCTGATGACCAAGCCCTTCATATGGGCATCTTTCCCTCAAGTTAGTTTGAATTCCAGCATGAAGATTTTTGTCCTGCAATAGAAATTCATAAAAGTGAATGAGCAAGAAATAACTGAGTCTGTTAAATAAAAGATGAGGCTAAGTCTTAAGAATAGGTTTTAATCGAGGTTCTGCAATTTATTTGCTCTGTATCCTCAAGCTAGTCACTTTACTTCTCTGAATTACAGTTTTTGCATCAGAAATAGGAAGATAATACCACCTATCTCTCAGAGTTGTGGGAATTAACTAAATGAAAAGCATTGGTGAAGTGCTTGACACCAGGTTGGTAACCTATTAATATTTTTGAAGGGAAGGAGAAGATTGAATCTATAAAATGAACCTCTTATGAAATTGTCCTTAAAATGAAGGTGAAATAAAGACTCTTAGGCAAATAAAAGGTGAGGGAATGCATTGCCAGTATACCTGCCTTGCAAGAAATGTTGAGTTCTTTAGAAAGAAGGAAAATACAGACCAGAAACTCACATCTACATATAGAAAGGAAGAATATTGAAGAATAAATGAAGGTAAAGTGAAAACTTATTTTTTTATTCTTAACTGATCAAACATAGCAACTAGTTAGAATAATAACAATGTATTTAATTATATATYCTTATATATAAGTGAAATGATGCAACAAATGAGAAGGAAATACTAGATGATTTTGTTAGGATGAGGTATTCACATTACCTGTAAAGGGGACATGAATTAAAAATGTATATTTCAAACTATAGGGCGACCACTTAAAAATTTAATTTTAAAAGGTATATACTTAGAAAAGAAAGAATCATATATGAAATTCCATATATGCTATCATATAAAATGTTCATTTAAAACCACATAAGGCAGAAAAAGAATGGAAGACAAAAATAGGAACAAAGAACAAGGACAAAAAATATATAAAACAGTAACATATATAGTAGATACTGATCCCAACTATTACAATAATCACTTTGAATGTCAATGGTTTAAATGCATTAGTTAACAGATTAGATTGTCAATGTGAGTCAAAAACAAGATCCACTGTAAAAGACACATGTATGCGGAAAGTAAATGGATGGAGAGAGATGATATATCATGCTAACACTAATCAAAAGAAAACAGGAAACTGAGAATAATGACAAATGCCTATAAGTCCAGCAAATTAGTAGGCCAAGGCAGGAAGATCAACAAGTTCAAGGCCAGCCTTAGCAACTAAGTGAGGCCCTAAGCAATTTAGTGAGACCCTGTCTCAAAAAATAAAAAGGCTGGGGAGGGGCTCAGTGTTAAAGTGCCCCTGGGTTAAATCCCTAATACTGGAGTAGGGGTAATAATGGTGCACACCTATAATCCCAGCAACTCCCAAAGCTAAGGCCGGAAGATAGCAAGTTTGAAGCCAGCCTCAGCAACTTAACAAGACCTTGTTCAAAATAAAAAGTTCTGTGGATATAGTTCAGTGGTAGAGCACTCTCACCTACATGCACGACGTCCCGAGTTCAATCCCCAGTACCACAAAACAAGAAAAGAAAGTGGAAATTCCTATGTTAATTTCATAAAGAGCAGACTACACATAAAGTCATGGATAAAAAAGGCATTTCACAATRATAAATGGATTCATTCTCCAAGAAGACCTAAAACTTAACATGCAGACTTAATGACAGAGCAGCAAATACACAGACAAAAACTGATAGAACTTCAAGGAGATACCACTGAACCCACTATGTTTGTGGAGTTATATTTGGAGACTTTAACATCCCTCTATCAGAAATGAACAGGTCCAACAGGCAAAAAGTCACTAAGGACACAGTTAAACCCATCAAAACTGTCAATCCAAGTAGATATGATAGACCTAGAGTCTAGATGCTACTGGATGCTCTTGTCATCCAACACAGCAGAATATACATAGCCTCAAGGTCACATAGAATTCACCAAGATCAACTACATTCTGGACCATAAAACATATCTTAACATATTTAAAATAATACAAATGAGGAACCATGCATAGCGGTACACACCTGCAATCCCAGTGATTCAGAATGCTGAAGTGTAGGATCTGAAATTCAAGGCTAGCCTGGGAAAGATTCTGTTAAGAGAGATCCTGTCTCAAAACAAAACGAAAAAAAAAACTAAAAGGGGCTTAGGATGCAGCTCAGTGGTAGAGCATCTCTAGGCTCAAACCTTAGTACCACACACAAAAAAAGATAGAAATCATGCAGTTCTCTCTTACATTTCAACAGGATTTATCTAGAAATCAGCAAGATAGATAATCTAGAAAACAGGTTGATTCTGCAACTTGTACACTCAGAAAAATGAGAAATTATATCCCATCTGATTCAAATGTATGATATGTCAAAGTCATTGTACTGTCATGTGTAACTAATTAAAACAAAAACTAATACAAAAAAATTAAAAGAAAACAGAAAGATAGCTGAAAAATCCCCCACCCCTGCAAATACTTGAAGAATAAACAACACACTTCTACAAGAGAAATTTTTAAGTACTTTGAACTAAATGAAATTGAAAACACAATTTATCAGAGTTTGTGGGATGCAGTGAAAGTACTTACCTGAAAATTTATAACATTAAATGCATACATTAGAAAAGAAAAAAAAAGATCTAAAATCAATTGCCTACATTTCTACCTTAGGAAACTAGAAGGAAACCAAATTAAATCCAAAACAAGCAGAAGAAAAAAAAGAAAGAAAAGAAGTAGACCAGAAATCTATGAAATTGAAAACATGAAAAATACAGAAAAATTTTCTCCACCAAAAGCTGTTTCTTGGAAAAGGTCAATAAAGAAAGCCCTTGAGACAGGGTAAGTAAGAGAGAAAAAGAAAACACAAAGAAAGAGGACATTACTAAAGATCTCGTGGGCAGTAAAATGGTAATCAAGAAATACTGTGAACATCTCTATGCTCACAAATTTGAAAACCTAGACAAAATCCTTGAAAGACACAATCTTTCAAAACTCACACAAGAAGAAATAAACCATGTTAGGCCTATATTCATCACAAAAATTGAAAAAATAATTAGTAGCCTTCGATAACCAAAAGCACCTGGCCCAGGTGGGTTCACTGGTGAATTCTACCACACATTTAAGAAAGAAATTATTCCAATTCCCTATAATCTGTTTCATAAGAAAGAAGCAGAGGGGTACTTTCTAACTCATTCTCTGAGCGTGAGTCAAAAACAAGATCCACTGTATTAATATTATTGCCTTAATACCAAATAGTATTGCTTTAATACCAAAGCCAGACAAGAAAAGAAACTAGTTCTCATGAACATGGATTCAAAAGTCCTCAAGAAAATATTGGCAAATCACACTCAACAATGTGTTTTTAAAAAAAAAAAAAAAGTTAGACACCATAAACAAGTAGATTTACTCAGGTATACAAGCAACTTGGTTCGTGTTAAATCAATTCATGTAATCCAGCACATTAAGAGGCTAAAGGAGAAAAATCACATGGTCATATCAATAGATGTTAGAAAAAGCAAAATCCAATACCTATTCATGATTGAAATTGTAAGTAAACTAGGAACAGAGGGAAATTTTCTCAACTTTGCTAAAGAACATGTACCAAAAAACATAGCTAACAGTATATATACTTAATGATGAGAAACTTGAAATTTTCCCACTGATATCAGGAACAAAGTAAATATGCCCTTTCTCACCACTCCTTTTCCACATCATACTGGAAGTTCTAGCTAATGCAACAAGAAAGGGAAATAAAAAGCATACTGAGAAGAAAGGAAGAAAACTGCCTTCATCAATTATTGATGTCTTTTCTTCTAAGTCTCTGAACTACCATAAAATAGGAGTGTGATTCACTTTCCCAGTTTACTACCCATTTTCTGCATTTCACTCAAACTCAGTGTGCATGCTAAAATGCAGATTCCTAGATCCCACCACCACAGATGTTCCCCGATTTTGCATTTTAGTGAGAATTCCAGATGATTTCAGTGCAGGTGGCACCTGACCATGCATTGAGAAACCTAATACCTTGAGACAGGAATGTAAATTGAGCTGTCAGCAAGGGCCTTGAAATTCTAATCCACAATTCAAAAGTATTATGTACTAAATTTCCAAGTCAAAATGTAAAACAAGTATGTATAAAAACCAGTGTCCAGTTCCTCAAAAATTATTTCCCACTCCCTGATGTGGAAACATGTTGCTGCCAGAAGCAGTCTTTCCTTTCGAAAGGTGATCTGTGGGGCTCAGGGGAATTGTTAACCAAAGGAGAAATTTTAGGTGATCTAAATTTTAAACAACCTTGCTACCATACTGTGGTCAATGGAAGTTGTAAATTACACATTTCAAAGCCAAGTGAAGATCGCTGAAGTCTCAGGTACCCAAAGCTTGTGTTTACTGTCATTTATGTTGTTCTGCTTTAAAATAGAAATAGAATCACTGAAGAGAAAAAGGGAGGTAATTATGTACTTAAATTGCAGTACTTACAGCACTATCTTTCTTAATTTTACCTAAATATCTTAGACTGCTGATTCCCAACCTGGCTCTCCTAGAGATATGAAAGTCTCAAGATAGATTTTAATGTTAATTTTAAAAACAAGTATGACAGCAATTTTTTTAGGCACTGGAGAAATCATGGAATTCAAACACAAAATTTTTTATCTCATGAAAATTCCAAGCCAGGCATGGTGGTACCCACTTGCAATCCCAGCTACTCAGGAAACTGAGGCAGGAAGTTGGCAAGTTTGAGGCCAGCCTAGGAAATGTAGCAAAACCTGTCTCAAAATAGATGTTTTTTAAAAAGGTCTGGAGCTCAGTGGTACAGCCCTTGCCTAGCATGTGTGAGGCCCTGGATTCAATCCTCAGTACCACTTCCCCAACACCCCCCCCCCACATTCCAATTTTTTTTCAGAAACTCTTTGAATCACTGATTTAATCCTAGAGGAATGGAAATTGAACTTGGACCTTACCAACCAAAAATGTTCACAGTGTCTGAGCACATGGCATTAAGATTCTATGTTACTCTTCAAATTGAATGAGTTTAAAATGAGTGTTGAAGCAAAAAGGAGAAAAATCATTCTTTGTGTTCAGTTACATCAAGCTAATAATTGCAGATGGTTAGGAAGTACGTACCAACATATTAAGTTTGTGTAACCATATTCCTTGAAAGATTAAACCATTGTGGATTTTTAAATACAAATTTATGATGAAGCAAAAACAGAAGAAATAAATATTAAATAAAAACTGATAAACTGTGTATTATATCACATATTTCTACCATGTCTAAGTGTAAAATAGAGCTAATGAAGCTTGGAGAAATTAAAATCTAAGGTTGCAAAGTAAGTCAAGGGTAGGCAATGAGACCAAATACTGATGCCACACAACTGTGTGAGTGCTATGTGCCAAGCACTTGAGGTACAGTGTCCTGGTTCATAAATTGGGGGGAGAAGGTAGCTGTGAATGGATGGAAGAGGCAAAAAGTAAATAACCAATTATAGGGTTATTGTCATTCACTCATGCTAGAGGTACAAATGAAGTTCTATGACAGAAAGCAAAGTCCCTCTATTAAACTGTAGTGCAGARGCACTTGTCACACGAGCCCCAGTCCTGTCACTAACCTCCTGATCCAGTGTTGATTTGCAGTCCTCTTATTCAGACTCAGCACCTTCTCCTCTTTCCCACTGAATACGAACACAACTAGAGGGCTCTGCTTGTGATGTGTCAGACCCCAAATTTGCCCAGTTTTTCATGGTTTGTATTTGGAAAAACACTGGTAAGAAGGGCATTAGGGAAAAGAAGATACAAAACTGCCCAGTGTCTTGCCAAGGAAGGAAAGTGTTGGAAGGTGCATCTCTTGCTTTCTCCTCCTTTTCTTCATACTGCCAAGCTGTAGACCCACAGGCACCAATCCTGCACTCGGTCACACAACCTTTGCTGAATAAAGAATGGGACTTTTCATCATCTTCTGTAAGGACAATACTTTTCCAAAGTTTCCAGGTGTATTAATAAGAGAGGGAGAATTACAATTATAGACTCAGTTGATGTTTCCCACTCGTGGGGAAGAAGCACCCAGTGCCAGAAGAGCAGATAGGGTTGTTGTATTAGCATCCTGTTTGTTGGGGTAAAGAAGAAAAAGATAACTATTAAACCAAGTTGATCACCTAAAGAGAATGGAGCTTGTTAAAAATAAATAATAAAATAGGGATGCTTTGAACCTCTGAGAGGAGGATGGTCTTCTCATTGCACTGATGCCCAGTGGGGTTTTGGATACCCAGGCTATGTAGTAAGAAAGTTAGGAGAACCTGGAATTTCCTAGGTTACCCAGGATGAAAGATGTAAAAGAGACAAGATAGGAGAAGCAGTCCACTACAGGGAGTAACTACCAGGGAGAATATCCCAAAGCAGTGGTAAATCTGAGGAGTCTAATGTCCTGCTGTTCAGGTGATCACAAGCCCTTTTCTATGTGCCCCCATTGAACACTAGTACTCAGCTATTCATGGCAGCCAAGTTCTCAAGTTTGCTTCAAGTACAACCAAAGAAATTGTGCAAGTTCCTGATTGGAGTTCATGCCTGGGCATAAGGAAAGGAAGAATTCCCAGAAGTATAAAGTATGGAAAGATTAATCAGAAGCAGGAATCAAAGCTAGAGATGATCATGAGAATGTTTTATCCCTTTCCCCAAAAATTCAGAGAAAGGAGCAGAAAAGGAGTCCTTGATCTGAAAGGATCCCCCAGCAGTGGGAACTCTACCAACCGTCAAGTTTCTGTATCCACTTCGTCTTCTACAATACCAGCAGCCGATGAGCAGTGAAATTCCCAGGATCACTATCAGGAAGCCAATCCCTGCAGCCCTGGCCCAAGAGATAGACAAGTCCAACTTGGCATAGAAACATTCAGATTGTAATAAAATATAAATCACTCTTCTCACTTCATATGGGCTTTAATAGCCCAGAGAAGCACCATGTTGCCATCCCCAACACAGGGCACCCCCACCAGGCCTTCAGCTCCTGAATCAGAGACAGGTCCCAGTCTAGGAGCCTCTCAGGTGTGTACTCACAGGACCACTGCTAACTGCATGGCCCAAGCCCCCAAGTTCTAGGCACAGGAAGTGCCCTAGCAGTTGATCCTCATGTGGGTAATATGTCTATTGGAGCATAATTATCTTTTCTTCTCATCAGGACTGGTTTAAAGCATTTTCCCCAACTCAGTCCAGAAAAAGGAAATATAAATTAGCACTATCTGAACATCTACAATAAGTCAGGTGCTGCACTGAACATTCTACATGCATTAGCTTTTTTAATTCTCATAATAACCCTGTAAAGGTGGATGCCACCTCTCATCCATGGTTATCCAGAGATAGCAAATGACAAAGCTACCCGAGGCAAAGACATCTGCCCCATACTCTCCCGCATCCCCTGTGACCCTGAGGAGAGGATTCTAAGCTAAACCTAGAGCAGAGCTTAGTTTCTTATGGAAGGATCTGATCTTAAGCATGGAATGCCAATCTGGGATTAAACCAGCCTGGGGGCCCTGAGTCCTGTGACCCACAGTTACCACGAAGGCACTGGAATCAGGGCCTGGGGCTGTCACTGCCTGCATAAGATTGTCAGTTAGCTAGCATCTCCCGGATTTTCCACACAACAGCCCAATCAAAATTGAGAGTATTGTGTGTTACTTGTGGCTATAAACTTGCTAAGAAAGGCCCTTTGTATCTGGGTGATCTACAAGAGACTGAGCAGCTACAGGAGAAGCAAGGTTAAACAGAGACTTCTGGAGAGAGTTCTGCCTAGTACCTCCTGCCCCACCACCTTCAGCTCCAAGCTACTGAGGTATCAAACATGTCCTGTCCATCTCCAAAAGGGATGCAGAGAACCACACAATTGCAGAGATTATGGAAGCTCTGACCCAATTATGGAGATCAATCTACCCATTTTCTAGATCATGAAGCTGAGACCTATCAAGATCTCTCAGCATCAGCATCACTACCACCCTAGTGACTCCTGTACCATCCATCCATTGAGTACTAATTTGTGTCTGGCTCCAGGCTAAGCACCCTGCAAATGCGCTTTCATTTTATCCTCACAACAACCCTCTGAGGTAAATATGACGTTTGTTTTATGGCTGACATCAGGCTGGTACAATGCTCAAGGTTGCACAACCAGTAAGTGGCAGACTCAGTAATCATAGTAACTGGCACTAGTCACCCAAAAAAGGAACTTTAGAATTTAGGCCAGACCCAGGTTTTCAGTCTCCCAGGCCAGTGTTCTTCCTGCAGAAATCACTCTCTCCTAAAATGAAGCTGTCACAGGAGTGTACAAAGTGCTCTCATGACTGGAGGCAGCTGATCAAATTCCCAGCATGTCTGTGCTCTAACTTTACCCCGTGAGTTCCCCTAGAATGTTCCCTAGAACAGAGAGAACTCTGTTCTAGCTCTTTATGCACAGTCACGCTGTATTCACAACATTCCCAGGTGACTGAGTGCACAAAACACAAAGGCACACCAGAAGAACCCACTGCCCATCTTAGCAGGGTTCCCAAGTGTCACCCAGATACCACCACCTGCAGCAGAATTAGCTGAGATTAATTTAAAAGCAAGCTCTGTAGACAATTTATGCCCACTCAGTGTGGAATCCCTTATCTACCGAGGTTTCAAAGGCCTTTTTGGGGTTGCCTACTTCACATTGTTCTTCCTCAATCTATCTGGTGGTAAGATTGTGAGAAGGATAAATATTCTCGGAGAATCTCAGAGACTTGTTGCTACAGTACAGCTGTCCGTGTTTCCCTATCTCCATCCACCTGTTTACAGGAGGTCAGCTGAGGGTAAGTCCTGACATTGGTGGCCTTATGCAGAAGTGATTAGTCTTTCACTACCCTGCATAAAATCATGACATTCTATGTACTCAATGGTTCCTGCCCACACAGACTGAGGTTAAGAAAGTCACTTTGTGGGAGCTTTGGTCATTTGACCTTCATACAGACAGCAAAATGTCAAAGGAAATGGCATTCTGCTTGTGCAAAGACCACTCCCATACGTACAGGTCAAATGGGGTTTTTGGGGTTTTGTTTGTTTGTTCACTTGTTTTTAGGGCTAGAGCCTGAGGCTCCCCTGTGTTCTCAGGGAAGCTACCAGAGAATCCACCTGACTCTGCATCAGTCCTTTGTTCAGGATGCAAGACAGAAAGCTTAGGCCTTCAGTCAGAGACTCCTTTATATGATGATGGTAATAAACTCCATATGCCTTTTATTAAGCTGTTGTTCCCCAACTTCAAACCCACCTTTCAATGTTTGCTCTGAGGTGCTGGGGTCGAATTCTACAAACCCCACTTCTCTTTTGCTCATTGGCTCCCATTAGCACCTAGAGGGAGTCCACTAGACTGGAAGAGGAAGAAGGGGGTGTTCCCTCCAGTTAGCATAGCCCCAGAGGCAGTTCTTCTCACCATTAGTCCCACTCACCAGCTCTACTTCTGCCACTCCAGGACCAGGCCTTTTACGCTTCTCACTAGCTGATCAGTGCCCACCACAGAGGTCGGAGCATTTAATCCATAGGCCCTTCCTCTAAGTTCCTGAAGCCCCAGGACCAATTAAGCAGAAATCCTTCCTCAGAACTGTGGGTCCCATTTCTGTGGGGTCCCTTCTCTGTTCCAAGTTCTGACGGCCCCACACTTCCCAGCAGAGGCAAATATTTGCATAGTCCCATCCAATGTCTAGGGACATTCCTTTCAAGTGACAGGCATCCATTGCTCACCTGGGTGGGTGAGCAGTTCTTCGCCCAGCCCCAGGGGTGGAAGCAGCCTCCTGCAGTTCCTGCCTTTGGGTCCTCTCTGGGTCTCCATTGCTTCCTCAGGCCCAGCGCCTGTTTAACCAGTTCCTTATACCAAGGTTGAAATGCCTGATTGGTTTCTGTCTTCCTGATTAGACCCTGAGAGCAATTCTGTTTGGGCTGTGGATGCCATCTGGCCATGAGCTTCCCCAGCTGGGAGAGACGACAATGTGAAGCAAAAGAAAAAAAAAAAAAAAAAAAAGAAATCGGCTCTTTTCAAGCCTACTGAGCTGACCACTTCCAGCCTCCAGCCTTTGGCTTCACGGTAGACATTCTGATCTCTGCCCTAGCCTCTTGTTGGATGGGACTGTGCAAATATTTGCCTCTGCTAGCCTGCAGCATAGTGCTTTATAAGCAAACAAACCTGGATTTAAATCCCAACATCATGGCCAGATACACATTTCCAATTTTCTCTAAGACTCTCCTCACATTCAGCACAACATAGGGTGAGCATCACCACATGGTGGGTGAGCAGTGGATGCCTGTCACTTGAAAGGAATGTCCCTAGCCTTCCCTTTATCTCCCCCTTTCTATTAGTGAGACACAGAGATGATGACACACCGTTTCTAACCATGTAGAAAAAGCAATGTCCAAGGGGAGTAATCAGAGAGAAGGAGGCTGGCCAGCTTGAATTTCATACACTTGGACTACTACATGGGAGATTAACAAAATTACATTTTATTTGTTTATTTTTATGTGGTGCTGAGGATTGAACCCAGTGCCTCATGCATGCTAGGCAAGTGCTCTGCCGCTGAGCTATAGCCCCAGTCAGAATTACATTTTAAAGAAGAGGTTGTCAAATCATCTTACAGTACCTGAAATAATATCCTAAATAATTCCATGGGCAATTTACCTTCTCCATCCTCCACTTCACTCTAAAATGAGCATATTTTTATTCTTGGGACAACTTGTTGAAAGATATTACCGCCACCTCCTTCCTTAATTGACCATAAAGGGATTGAGAGACTCTCACTGGGGTCTTCAGAGGAAATGCTCCCMGCCTGAATTATTCCTTGGTATCTGATAGATTCTTCATGTTGCTTGTTCCTGATAATTGGGTCTGTTGAAGATTTTTCAACAGCTGTTTCCAAAAGTAGAGATTTGCAGGGAGTTTTTAATAGACCACATAAAAGATGGTCCAAATAAAAGTCTGGCTCCTTGTCCTGTTGGAGTCCCTGCTCAGAGGGTGGAGCCCACCCTTCCACCTGGACACCTTCCCTTCACAGGGTATGTCCTGCAGCCTCTGTGTTCCCCTAACAGCACTTACACTTGCTGAGATTAACTCTCAGTGGATTGTGAAAACTTTCAAAGGTAAGAACAGTGTTTTGGGCTGGTATACAATGCCTAGCACTTGGAAATGCTAATCACATAAATACTTATTTTTAATTAACTCATAATACCAAACACCCTTCTGTAGGATAAGGGTATGATGCAAAGGTCATGGCCACAATCTTCATCCTGAAATCAGTCCACACACCTGCACCTCATCCTCATGGGCTCTTTGGCAAGTCAACTTTATTCTGTCTGCAAAGCACCTTCAGGAGCCTGAGTGGAGTTGACAGAACAAGGTTTGAGGGAAAAAGCATCTTGATCCTGGGCAGGTGTTTTCCAGCTTGGGAACCTACAGCTAAGACCCCAGAATGTAGACAAGAATAGCAAGATGCCTGCGTGGTGGGGGGGAGAAGAACAGCAAGATCCAACTTATCTCCCTTCCTGTTTGGCCCAAGAGAAGCTTGAGAGAGCCCCTTATAGGACCCTAAGGTGTCCTTTTATTGTCAGGGTTTTTACTGTCTGGGGAGATAAACACAGGGAGATGTGTACACAGGCTTGTGTAGGTGGAGTCAGCAGTCTGGCAAATTGAAAATCCTAGTGGGTGTTGTTTTGAACTTACTCTTCAGTTGTAATGTAAGAATAACTGTGCCCCTTCCTGAGGTTACCATAGATGAAGTGAGCCTCTTCTTGTGGCATCTTGTGGGGTCACGGCACAGGACACCTAACAGAGAGGCACATGGGCATCATTTAGTGTATCTAAAGTGTTTTTATGCAATATCTCATAAAGATCCACAAAGACATTGTTGCCAGGTGATGGGAATTGACAGGGGAACCTTCTGGTTTTTCTCTCAGAAGATTTGTATCTATTTGTTTCACTAACATCCAGGACTTTAGAAAGTCCCTTCCACTAATGGAAAATTAATCTTGAAGAAGAAACTACACATGAAAGCCAAAAATATTTCAAACTAAGTTATTATGGGGGGGGTGCTCTTCATTTGTCTTCAATTTGACTCTATATATAAACTTATAGCAAAAAGAAACAAAACACATTTCTATTCATTCTCGACCTTCCCTGACCTAGGACACTGGTTAATAAAACAAGACTTTAGTAACTCTTAGTAATCCCTACATTACCCACCTGAGGTGATTAATGAGATCAACTATAATTTTTTAACTATAATTTCTAGTAACTCTCCAGAGTTAGTATTTTATATCATTCCCTGATCTGGACAGTGGCTAGGATGAGATAACGTGTATTTCTCAAAGCATCCCCTCCTCAAGCTGGTCCATGGGTGTGTAAAGCAGAGCAACCAAGCATAGTGTCTTCCAACTCCACCCCGCACATGTCTTAGCTTGCCCTGTGCACATCACCCAAAATAAGCCAAGGAAGCTCAGGACTTGACTTTGTCTGACAATTTTTTTCCCTTTCACCTAGATTAATTTCTGCTTCCGTTTAGTTCACAACTCATGGATAGGGGTTAAAACAATTTTTTTAAGAGAGAGAGAGAGAGAATTTTTAAAAATATTTATTTTTTTTTTAGTTTTCGGCAGACACAGTATCTTTGTTTGTATGTGGTGCTGAGGATCGAACCCGGGCCGCATGCATGCCAGGCGAGCGCGCTACCGCTTGAGCCACATCCCCAGCCCTAAAACAATTTTTTTAATATTGTAATATATACAAAGAAAAATAAGAAGTTCATGAACTTCAGTGGTTATAATTAAAGTGAGCTCATTAAAAACCAAGAATGGAAACTTCTCTMCTTACTATTGTGTATTTTTCTTCCCTTTCGCTGTTCTGTGAATTTCAAAGTCCTGATCCCCACAGAGTTATATTAATGGGCTCCAATTTGAACATCAGAGAGAATGGAGAGCAGAGTGGGGGTTTTACCACATAACTCCTTTCCACTGGGGGCGTTTTATGTGTAATTTGCCCTTCCCAGTAGTAAAAAAGAAATTATAGTTGAACTCATTGATCACCTCAGGTGGATAATGTAGGGGTGAATGCTCTTCAAAATTATAGACAAGAAACCCAATTAATTCTGCTTAAATTGTTTTTGTACATCTATACCTCAAGCTCAGAGCCTCAACCAACAGTACAGGGACAGCAAATGCACCTCATCCCACTCAAATATGAGATGTGGTCCTGCAAATGGCAGGAGAGTTCATCTAGACAGGGAGCTGCTAGTCACCAGCAGACTGTCCTGCACTCCAGGAATAATCACTGTTCTCAAAAGTTGCAGAGGACAGAGAGAGAATCTAGGAAGAGACTGTGAATATCCAGAAGTTGGAGAAGTACACATGTTGAGGAGAAATCCTGTTAATAATTAACCAGGTAGGCAATGAGGACAGCAGAGAGGTCCACCAGCATTTCCCAGGCCCTGTTCTGGAAGAATAGGACACAATGACAGTGAAAAGGAATGTCCTTACCGTCCCTGATGAGCTAGTCCTTCGCTTGCTCGCTGGCCGTGTGTGTGAAGATTGCTTCTCTGGCTCGTAATCTTTTTAACTTTTTTTTTTTTTTTTTTGCCTTGGTTAAGTCCCATGATAGTCACGGGTTTGAATTCCTGACGGGGTCGTCTGTAATTGCTTATTTGGCATGAAAGAAACAGACTTCATTACACCTTCAAAAAAAAAAAAAAAAAAAAAACCACAGCTCACTGTGGCCTCTGTTTTCCCCAGTTTCAATGCTTCATCAAATGACTGGGGAAGTCATTTATTTTAAATGCTGGTTCTCTGTAGGATTGCTAGATAAATATAGAATACCCAGTGAAACTTGAATTTCTGATAAATAATGAATAATGTTTCTGTATAACTATGTCTTATGTAATATTTTTTTAGTATAAATATGTCCCACATACTGCATGGGACGTATTGTAAAAAAAAATTTTTTTTTGTTTATTTGAAATCCAAATTTAGTTGGGGACCCTAGACTCTCCCTCATCTCTACCGCAAAGAGTTAAAGAACCTGTAAGTTCAGATCCAGAGATCATCCAGTCCCACACTTTCACATCCAATAAGAGGAATTAGAAGATCTCTAAAACTTCCCAAGCTGAGCTCCTTGAGTTCTTTGTGATGACCTGGGGTTAACTTCCCAGTGGGGACAGTGAGTTTCCACGCATTTACAAAGGGAAGATGAAGTTTTCTTTTTCAAGGTGGAATATGACCTACTATGAATCTAACTGAAGCCAGGATAATTGCACTTAACATCCAAATCTACCTTGGGAGTCAAATGTATATATCCCAGAAGTGTTTCAGTGGGACACTGTAGTCACCTTTGCTAAGTGGCCATCAAAGACCCTCAAAACAAAAGTCCCTCCAGAATTAAGGAATGTGAGAGTTCTTATTGGCCAAGAACTTGAGTTAAGTGACCACAAAGCTCCCATCACCCTAACAATTGAGCCCTCTGACCCCATTCCTTTCAGATCCTGTGCCTTTCCAGTTTCTATGCTGGTCTGTGGACAGGAGCTGCCCTGTGTGATTGCAGTATCACTCTACCGGAAACTGGATACTTCAATAGCCATCACTGGACTTGGTAACGGGAGAAACAAAACAGAAAAAGAAGAGTTGATCCTTATTAAGCAAAACTGAGGAAAGCCTTTCTGAAAGAAGGAAATATTTAAACAGATCTAAATGACAAGAGGTCAGCCATGAAAAGATAGAGAAAGAGGAATTGGGGATGTAGCTCATTGGTAAAGTGTGCTTGCCCAGCATTTGCAAGAACCTAGGCTTGTCCCCTAATGCTGGAGGAAAAAAAAAAAATCCTGAAAGAAAATCATTTCAGCACAACCAGTGTAAAGGCCCTGAGGCAGAACAATAGAACATGACTTGGTCTGGGTTCCCAGAACTGGGGCTGGCCCAGGAGACTTTGTACGCAAATTGGGAAGAATATAAGCCCCTGTCAGTGAATTGGAGAGAGCGATTTTAACCTGAATCTCAGTGTTATTCCCTGTAACTCCCAGAAAGTCTTAGTAGTGATTGCTAGTCTTCAAAGAAGGCTGCAGTTCTAAACTAAGAAGGCCAAGGTTTGTGCTAGGCTGAACTCTTCACTTCCCCTGGACCCCTGGATGACTGGTGGTACAACCACTGAGGAGAGTGGTGCTGACCTGGATATCAGAGTCAGGTGAAGTCCCAGTTCTCACTTGAGTTCTCTGGTGTTGGGAGCTGATTCAGGAGGCATCCTTCCAGGGTGGAGACTGCAAGGCTACTGTCCTAACCCCTTCCTCAGAGAGGGCTCCATGTCCAGGCCCAGCCTGTTGGTCACAGGACACCTCTCTCCAGTGATTTTTTTTTTTTTTTAACCTCAGGGAGGGAGTCCTGACAGAACTTTAACAGAACTTTATCTCTTTAGTTTGTGTGTGTGTTGCTATTGTTATTTTTTGTTTGTTTTGTTTTGTACTAGGGATTAAACCCAGGGGTCCTTAACCACTGAGCCACACCCCCAGCCTTTTTTTATTTTTATTTTTTTTGGTGATGCTGGGAGTTGAACCAGGACCTTGTGCATGCAAGGCAAGCACTCTACCAACTGAGCTATATCCCCAGTCCCCCCTTTTTTATTTTTTATTTTGAGACAGGGTCTCATTGAGTTTCTAAGTGCCTCACTTGCTGAGGCTGGCTTTGAACTCTCTTTCCCCTGCCTCAGCCTTCTGATCCCCTGGGATTACAGGTGTCTACCACTGAGCCTGGCCTCTTTGGGTCTTTAAGTGGTTTGTGGCTTCTGAGTGCCCAGTCCTTCAAGGTAACATGACCAGGACAAACTGAGTATAATTCTTCAAATAAGGGTTCACTGGGACCCTCAGCCTGAAAATCCTACCACATCCTATTTTCTGGAAGCCCCAAGAACTTCTCCCTGACTAGACTCCTACTGACTGTCCTTGGACTGGCCTCAGCCTCAGGCTCCACCTCCAGYCTTCCCAAGCCAGGTCTACCTGCCTCACCCTCAACACTTGCAAATGACTGCCTTTCCTTCCCTGGCAGAACTGTCCTTGGAAGGGGCTCTAGCTCACCTGCCTGAACTACATCTCCTCAGTTTGAAGGATCTTGGGCAACTCAGGAACCTCTGAAATTCTCAGCATATACATCCAAACCATGTGGTCAACAGTATTCCCAGGTTCAAAGAGATAATGCTTATCAAGTTCTTGGTATGGTATCGGACACCAAACATGCTTAACAACAGAGTGAACTATTCTTATGAGATGGATGGTCATCTGTTACCTCTTGGTCCCAGCTCAGACCACTATTACATCCCTTGCACCTGCCTAAGGGTTAGAACTTGAACCCTAGTACCTTGCTGGCCACTTCTGGTTCTCTACTGCCACCTAGTGGGCATGGTGCCCCTTGCATCATAGGCCCATCTCATGAAGGGTCTGGAGACATCTGATTTTTTCCAAAATCATCCTACTTACAGTGCTCAAGGGCCAGAATTCTCTTTACTCATCCTCCTTGGGGCTAGAAACCCTCAGTTCCCTCCACAAGATTGTGAGCAGACCCCAGAGCCATTGCCGTCAATGTGGATTGATGCTGCTAAGACCTTTTGTAGAAGCTGAACAGAGCTGGCGCTTGGGAAGCAGAGAAGGCAAGTAGGCAGCTCTGTGTGAGTGAGGCTTCAACAATGCTCCCTCCCTTTGCTGCACGAGAGCCTTAAATCCCAGCTCCCTTTGCTTATTACTTGTGTGATCTTGGCAAGTTACTTCACTCCTGTGAGCTTCAGCATCCTCATCGGCA